TTTGACGATACCCCCACATCCCGAATATCGTGACCGTATTACGTCGAGCGGTTAAAGGGCATAATAGCCCATTATTATACCAAAGTGACGCATGCTACAGTAACTGCACCTTCTGTAGTTCAATAAGTACTTACATTACCTTATACGTCAAACGCGTATTAGTTTGTCCAATATCACTGCTAATTACTAGAAATGTCTAATCTGAAATCCAGTAAAATCTGGTAAATCTGGCGCCAATGCTAAATGCGTTGCCAGGGCAAAATAGCCTTCGAACTCGTTAGGCAACGTCACATGTTGCACGGTGATTTAGCAGAGGAATTGCTTTGTCCCGGGATGCTTATATACGACTACATGAGCTAGTAGAATGTATCTCTGGGATGTATTCTCGTATTGAGCCACAAGTAAATTAACCGTAGGGTCTTAATGAACGGGTAAAACCACATGTCATTCAATATCAGACACAGGTGTATTCGTTTGACCATATAACATAAATACGTGTTAGTGCCGTCTGCTTTCCATGTTTAGCTCTGTGCCCGTCGGTCTAGTCCGCGATTCCTCCAATAGCGTTGGCTCCCATAACACAGCCTATTTCATTATCCACGAAGCGTACGTGAATTCCGGTACGTGGATTCCACGCTCATTACAATCAGAGCTACTGTATGTATACAGTACCGGCTACTGTACTGACTATCGCTTAGCATTGCGCTACGGCGCCGAGCGAAAATGCTACTGCGTGCGTGTGTTTTGCCGATGCGTCGAAACTGTCGCGTGCACTAATAAATCTGTATTCACACCCGTTTCGAAGTATGCGAATTTCTGAAACTGCCGTAAACAAGGCAGTCAAACTGATTTCGTCCTGGACTGCGGATTCTCAATTTAGACATTCTTAGCTAACCAGCAGCTTGCGATATTGGACAAAACGAATACGCGTTTGGCCCTAGTAAGGATAATGTAACTTATACTTATTAACTACACAAGGTGCCAGTTACTCTAGCATTCGTTAAAATTGCATAATCGATGGGCCTATTATGCCTTTAAGATTTGTGCCCAACTGTTGACGCACGGCCGGACGGACGCACGGACGCACGCTCATGCGATTCTACAAGCTGCATCTGACACGTCAGACGAGCTAAAAATGTCGCCTTTTCGCATGGCACCCAAAACAAAGATTGCAGAACTGAGAGGTAGAAGAGCCATAGGGTGTGTAGAGGGAGGCGGAGGAGCCATTAAAATATCAAGTCATCCACTATTTTGCGCAGTTCGCTGTTTTTGAACCCCCTTGTTAAAAAATCCTGGCTACGCCACTGTTTAATGTTTTTGGGTGTTTTCTGACCATATTATTATGTGATTGAAAATAGGAGATTTGGGGATATTTTTTGGGATAACCAGAAATTGTTGCGGACAACCTGATTTGATGCGGACAACCACATTTCTTATTTCGAGCACTGCAAGTAGTCAGGGGCGTGTACAGGGGGGGGGGAGGGTCCAGGGGGTCCGGACCCCCCCCTGCTCGCGCAGAAAACGCACCTAAAGGGGTCTAATTTCAAAAAATGTCTGGAGGGCCCCCAGACCCCCCCCTTCGCGTGCTCGCAAGTTTGGGTTACGGTTAGGCCCCTCCCTCGTACAAATCCTCTACACGTCCCTGGTAGTGCTACTGACACTGTGACTGTAACAGAAGTCGTAATCAAACTCGAAATCAACACAATGAAAAAATGGACATACATTACTTATTATTAGATCGTCTTCCGCAGACTGTTGAAACGATTCACCTGAAGATTTCCCATGTAGCGACAACCTCTCCATACCTGTGGAGGCTGTCGTTACTTTTAAACGAATTAAAATAACTTAGTTACAACACTGTGAACGATTGACGGATTGTGATGAACATCCACTGTCTGCAGTTCGTAAATTCGTATCACTGTTTCGGAAATTCGGATGCCCTTCGGTTTCTGTTCGGCAGCGCCATCTACTCGAAAAATATTTAACCATTTTTATCATTTGATTGGCATAATAATATCAAGAGCCTATAAAGAAGGCTTCTTTATACGCTCTTGATAACATTATTATTGGTACTGATGAACTGTGAATAATAACATGTGTTATTTAATTTAGCGAGTACAACGACAAAACTAATAAGATTGAATGCGTGCTGTAGGGGGGAGGAGGAGATGAAGATGAAGAGGGAGCAGCTCCCCAGGCAAAATGGGCCTGTGCCAGAGGCCTGTATATGCCAGGCAAAAAGGATGGTCCGTGCGCGATAGTCTTTTTTGCGTCTTTTTGATGCGCAAGTAATATTGGTCTAAACCGCGTCTTTTTGAAGAGTTCTGTTGAAAACGGACGGGTTGACTCCAAAGTTATGCTATTACAACGGATTTTCTAACACGTTTCGAATGACTACGAAGACAATGAAATTCATGCGAAAAGACGCTTGATGGCGTTGATAGTATATGACGTCACTACCGTTTGCGGATTCGCGCTCTTTTCGCTTATTGCCACGAGGTGACTTTGCTGGATTGGTAAGTTACTGTTTTATTATGACATTATTATCTTTATATCGTTATTCAAATGACATGTCATGATGCAAATGGTATGCAACATATATCACTGATACGTCCTAGAATAGTGTAAGACGCAAAATACACAGTGTTGTCACTGTTGAGTAAAAAGACGACCTAGTTAATTGTTTATGGGTGGCACTCTCCCCCGTGCGTAGATGGACAGTGCCGTTACGTGGCAGCACTAGTCACTTCGTACGCTTCAAAGTCCAAATCTTCCACAGAAAGATTCCACGGACCACAGTCATACTTCCGTGCTAGACATGGCCTTATCTTCCTAACCCTAATCCTAACACTACTACTGCTGCCACATCACGTGACCCCGCCCCCCCCCCCACTCAGTGTTATTTAGGGTACGCATACACACTTTTTTTTATAAGAATTCTTTTTATAAGAATCATCGAGGCTTGATTTCCCAAATTTTAAGAATTTTTTAAGAATAATGCTGAGGCTCGATCATCAGACACACATTGTGACTGTCAGTGTCACTCGATGACGACGGCGGCGAGTGGATTGATAATGAGGATGACCGATTCTATGACGTTGAATTTTGCGGCCGTAGGGTGAAAGTTCATTATGAAAATGGGTGGTTTGAAGGCACTCTTGAATACTTCAATGACGACAATAACATAAATATCCGGTTTCCTACCCCGACGGGAGTGGAGGAACCTATATTGGGCCTCGAAGACATTGACGGCGTAGAAGTCATATTACTGTAGTTTAACGGAATTGCGTTATATTTTGAAAAGGAGGGTTTACTTTCTTGTTGTGTTATACCATGTGTGTCTTTTATTGATAATTAGCATTTTCCTCTTCTTCAAACAGCCACGTTTATCATGCTATCGCATTTAACTAGTTTTAATGAAAATATAAGATCGATTTTTTAAACAATTTATTAAGAATTCATTTTAACTTATTTTAAGGCTCATAATGTCGATTTTCCTAAGAATCACGAGGGCTAAAAAAAAAAGTAGCGATTCTTCATAAAAAAAAAAGTCGTGTATGCTCGGTTCCTCTCCTTTGAACCCCGCCCTATCTCAGGACTGCTCCAAATTTCTGAAACCCCGCTTTCGCGGGCTTTTTTCGCTGCCTTGGAGACCCCCTAACTGCGCGAACACTGCTCAACTGTACCCGCCTATCTCAGGTGGCTCCTCATGTCAACGAAGTAGTGACTTTAGTGTAGGCGTGTGAACTGTCGAACCAGTCTCACAACGTAAGTGTAGAGTATCAGTGACTCGAGGGAACTAGGGGGCATTATTTTTTACATTTCAATACAATTACATAAATTTCTGAATAGCTTTCGCAAAACTAGCAAGGAATTTCAGCGGAATTTTGGATCCGGATTTAGATAAAGTTTCTATGATATATCAATGAGGAAGAGAGAGAGGAAAAACACACCTTTTTAAAGAAAATATCTGGGTGAAGGTCCAAATACACCCCCTTTTTAGCTGCATCTGACAGTAGCAGATGCACTTGTAGAATCGCATTGATCGTCCGTACACCGTCCGTCCGTGCGAGGCGTCCGTCCGTACGTCCGTAGCCGTCACAGTTGGGCAGCAAATCTAAACGGCTCGACGTACGTCACGATATTGTGGGACGCGTGGGGGGGGGGGGGGTAATCGCGAAACGAGTTGGGATGTCGAAGCTGGGGGTCAAAGGTCTTAAGGTCAATAGGATGTAAGAAAAAAAGGGGGAAGCATTTTACTCCTTAACTTAAGGGTAATAGGGATGGAAATGCAGAATTCGCGACAATCTAAACGCTCGACCTAGCTCATGGATAGTCGGGTGTATAGCATCATGGTAGGACAAACCAATCACTGTGCCGAAATGGGAGGTCAACAGGAAAAAGTCAATGAGCACAGGGACAGATTTTAACATTTCCTGAAGGACATGGTCTGACGGAGCATTGAAAAAACTTTTTGTTTCAGCGGCACGCTACCATTTTTTATGGCTTATTGAAAGGACCATGAAATGTGCTTTCCACTGACAGGGAAGAGTAAGCTGCTGATAACGCTTTTGAGACCCTCAAGAGGAAGGGTTAAACATGATTTGTTGACTGTTACAAAGGAGTGAACTGCTTTTGGCTATAGAGCCCGCTCCCCCACGACCTCACCCTCCCCTCCCCACCCCCACCCTTCCCCCTCCCCGCACCGCCGCTCCCCCTGCCCCTTCCCCACCCTCCCCCACCGCCCCTCCCCCTCACCTCTGCATCTGCATAGGGCGTGTCCCTAAACAATGATGTGTACGCAAGAACCTGGCGTGTCTGCATATCTGCCGCCTAGCAAAGTGGTACTACGCACGACTGAAATTTTTACACCGTTTATCAATCGTGAAGCAACCAGACCTCAGATGAGCCGCAGACGCTCTGGCGGCTCTGTTCCACTTTAATTCTTGGAACCGGATTTTGTCGCGCGAAAAATACCCCTTTACCGGAGATTTTGGGAACGCGCATGCGGTCCCTCCGACCTCGGAGTGGGGTGGCCGGGCACGTGACTGTCCATCTACGCCCGGGGGAAAGTTAATCCCATTGTTTGTAATTGTACTGTAGAACATAACATAATCAATATGTTATAACATAATCAATAATATTGTAACGTACCTCTCTTTTGTTTTATTCTTTCTTCTCTCTCTCTACACTGATGGCCCGTCCGCGAGAGTCTTTCTGGCGTCTTTTGATGCGCGACTAATATTGCCATTATTGGTCTAAATGGCGTCTTTTTGAAGAGTTTTGTTCAGAATGGCCGAGTTGACTCCGAAATGACGCTTAATGGACGCTATAACAACTGCTTTTTCAACACTTTTCGAATGATTACGAAGACATTGAAATTCATGCGAAAAGACGCTTGATGGCGTTGATAGTATATGCCATCACTACCGGTTGTAATTTCGCGCCTTTTCGCCATTATCACGAGGTGATATTGTTTGATTGGTAAGTTACCATGTTTTATTATGACATTATTATCTTTAAATATCGTTATTCACATGACATGTGATGATGCAAATGTAATGCAGTTTATTAGTGATGTCCCCCGATGATCGATTATAATCGAAAATCGATCGATTATAGTTTCAAATTCGATAATCGATTATGAAAACAAATAATCGATTATCGGAAATACCAAAACAAACAAACAAGGAACTGTACTCACGATGTGTGAATTGATATGACAAGTAGAGCACAAGTCTTGTCAGTCCTTGTGTTTTAAGATAACACAATACAGGCTAACCAGACGAACACGTCTACTCGACGAAGTACAAGTAATTATCCTCCGCACGCAGTGTCGCGGGTTTTCGTGGCCGTTTCGGTTTCGTGTATGTGGCGGTGTGTATGTCTGTGTGTCTGTTCTCTCGATATCTTTGCAACCTTAAGAGGTAGAAACTTCAAACTTGGTCCACAGCTGCATCTTATGGGGCGAGAGAACCCTATTGATTCTGAGCCATTTCCATCCAAGGTCAAGGTCGCAGGATCATTAACTATATTTCGAACACTGATACGTACGTATCCAGAGCTGCGTGTGTTATGATATGATTTATTTCCACGTGTCTGCAGCACAACGCACTGACGCAATGACGAATGCTACCGTCCCGAAACCAGAAAACAGATTATACTAGAACATGAAACGACACCGCATTCGCTTTATATTGGCAGAAGACTCGAATTATATTTTTAATGGGCAAAGTTATCTCGCATACGAGACCCAAACTACCGTATAGGCACCATGAACATCGGCATTCCACCACTATTCGCTCCTCGACACCTCCTAGTTTGCCCTCCGTGCCCATGTGGCACTCGATGCAAATCACAACACACCTCGCAAGCCAAGGTGTGTGATTTTTTCACTCTGCCTGCCTTTCCCAAAAGCACAAGGACTTAGCTTGATCATGTTTGTTTAAAAACTTTTAAATGTTTTTAAATACCATTTCTTTTTAAAATTGATTAAATAACTGGTAATAGGAACAGAACAATTTGATATACATAGCAGCAACCTCACAGAGTAATTAACAATGGATCATAAAACCATGATAATATTGAATGCTATGTTATAATTGTAATATACAAAGTAAGATTAAAATTAAATCTATGCTATTATTAACCGATTATTCCGATTATAAGTCGATTAATCGATCGCTTAAGGGAAACCGATAATGCGATTATATGAAACTTCCAGACCGATTCCATCCACTCACAGTTATTACTGATACCGTCCATAGAATATATAAGAGAACAAAATACAAAGTGTTAAGTCAAAAGGTAGTTCTCTTGTTTGTAAACTGTAGTAACAACTAACCTAACAATCAATCATGAATATTCACTAATCTAAACAAAAATCTCAAGCGAATTCTTGTTACACTTACAGTTGACACTTCTTGTGCCCACATCAAAACAATAATTAAA